TCATGACAATTCAATTCAGTCAGCTCAATTAAAAGAAATTTCTTGTGAGCTTGCTTGCTGTGTGCTCACACTTCCTTTGGAAGCCATCCTGAACCCTTTCAATTCAGAGCCTCGTCAATGTGGGTCCATGTGAATGGATGGCTCCATGTGAAGGGCTGGATCTATCTTCCGGATTCGGCGAATGCCCAGGTTTTCCAGCAGCAGGAGAGTAACTCTTCCCCGCAGAAACGCTCTCTGGAAGATGATTGGAGACAACGTGGATGGTGGAGCGACAACCGGAGGTTGTTCTGTGGACTTTTTTCTCAATCCGGCTTGGACTTTTTACAATTCTTGGAGTTGTCTGCTTGATTGCTTCATGCTGACATGACATGACACAGACTGTTACATCCTGGAAGGAACTCCTGCGCTCACATTGGGTGTGACGGACCGGTGTACCAGAGGGGGGTACGTGAGGATGCAGTTGCAGCCCCACCATACCACACTGGCAGGAGTGAGACCCCAGGATAAATTGAAAAGGGCGTTCGTGATCTGCACCCATCAATCGTCCTCTTGGGTCAGCCTCTACCGTGGATCGACGCAGCAGACTAAGATGCTTTGCTCGGCTGGATTGTGAAATCCTATGGGAGGCCTGGCCCTTGAGTCGTGGTTATGTGGGCCAGGCAGAAGTGTCCGACAGCTTTCATTTAAGCACAGCTTGATTACTGTATCCCAGGCGCGGGAAATGGAGTCCTATATGGATACTTATTCGATGTGATTCCGGATTTTGATGAATTTTTGATAACTTTGGATGACTTTTGATGAATTTCGTGTTTTAACATTCCTTAGGATCCAACCCCCACTGATCCAACCCCCAAAACGAGGACCCTGAAACAGTGTCCTCTGCATGGATTTCATGACCAAGAAAGCTGCAGCTTTTGTTACTTCGTGTCTCGTCACAAGACCGAATCGCAGGTCCGCAGTCAGGAGCTGGGTTTGAGGATGTCGGGTCTTTAGGATTTGGGGGCGTCGTAGTTTAGGGTTTCGGACCAAGGATTGGGGTTGGGGTTTTGAGGCGTTTAGGGTTTTGGGTCTCAGGAATTATGGGTTTAGGGTTTAGGTTTTCTGGATTTGGGATTGCATGTTCGGAGGGCGTAGGGTTGAAGGTTCACAAAATTCAGGGCAAACGACTTGGGGAGGTTGCGAAGCACAGGCGATTCGATAGAAGCAGATGTTCTGAGGGGGGGGGAGCGCCTTGAGGTTTTCCCAATAGTTTCATAAGATGAAGCTTCCCCACTCACGGTCAAGGGCGCTCAGGATTCTCGACAACAAAAGGAAAACAGAAAGCTGCGCTCAGCTTGCGGGTTTAGGGTAAAGGTCATCAGGGTTTTGGGCTCGTGGGTTAGCTGGTTTAGTTGCTTCATGTATAAGCGCCTTAAGCCCGCAGTCCTAAATCTTAGAATCCCAAACCCGAGGTTCCTTAAACCGCCAAACCCTAAACCTTAAGTCCAACACCCCAAAAGCCCTGTAGAACCCCAACAGTAGCCCTTGCAGGAACTAAGCTCGTAAACCCATTGAAAAACCGGGCACTTGGTAACCGAGAAGTCGACAACCCTAAACAGCCGTTACAGAAGAACCTTCATAATCGCTTGTACAATTCCCGACCCGAACACAAGAAGCCCAAAAGGCACTTGGTGCCGCAACACTGTGGACGATCCAGCGCTTCGCCAAGGCTCCCAAGACTTTGCTCAGGAAGACTCGGGAGTTCGGCTTTGGAGGGGGTTGTAAGGATTGCAGCTCTGGAAAGGTTCTGCAAGGGTCTCGAGTCTGGATGGCAGGACTTGATTTGGTAGGATACGGTTTTCGACAAGCGTTGTGTGAGGCTTCCGTGGGTTTGTCGGGTTTAGGAGCAGGGGATGGGGTGTAAGGGTTGTTGCTGGAGTGAACGAGAAGGCTGAGTAGAGGATGCAAGTGGAGTGATCAGGTCCCCTGCAAAGCTCAACCCCGACATGGCTCACTCGAGAGGCGGAGACTTTTATGCGCACTAGCAAACAACGTAGAAAAGAGAAGTCTGTGCTACTTGCTAGGCTCAAGGCTCAAACTGTGCTTAGCCTAAGAGCACCGGGAAAATGAACATGTGCACCTGACAAGCACTGCAAAGGTGGCATGCACATCAGCGCTCCTCCTTCGCAGCCCCGCTAGGGAGTTGCGACCTACTTGCTACTGCAAGTCCAACTGGTCAGGGTGACGACACACCTACCCTGACCTACTTGGCAAAAGCTGGGCCAACTGCCCTCGCTGTGCGAGGGCGTTCAAGGCACCTCTACGATGTCCGATGTCACAGACGCATCCAATGCTTCCAACAGCATGGCGCACGCCCTGGCGTTTACGCGTGACCACTTGCCCTCAACAACCTCCGCCCGCTCATCAGGAGCTACTCTCAAACGCTCCACCGGGGACGAAACACTCCAGCGGGCAAATGCATCACGCGCAAACTGCAACACACTCGACGACCAAAGTTGAGAGCTGTCCGATAGATCAGCCATCAACCCGCTCACCAACTCAAGCCAGTCTTGAAACTCCAAGGAGCCACCCGAAGGATTAGGCGCAACGAGTTTCGGCAAGGTGGTGATCCCTGTTTTGACCGTTTCGAGCACATCGTCGCCTTTAACCTTGAGCTGTTGAGCCTGTAGGTTTTGCAGCTGTTGCACCCCCAAAACCAAAGCATCCAACACTGAACCTGGGGCTTGTGGTGTTGTGTCCTGCACTCCTGAAGTTGATGAAACCTGAGCGCCTACAGCCTGAGAACAAGGCACTTGGCCATCCCTCTCCGGTGGCGGTGGCGGCGGTGGCGGCTGCTTTACGTTGGTGATAAAGCCATCGAAACCGGAGGACTGGCGGGTGCACCCAAGCTCGGAGCCCTCAACTGCGCCAGACCCAGGATTTCGGGCTGAGAATGGAGGTCTGGGCAAGCACCTGACGCGAGCTGAACCTGCCCTTCCGTGCACTGCCCGGCAACCTATGGGAACCTTGCAAGCCCGACCACAAGTTGGACCAAAACCCTGATGTGGATGCTGGTGCTCTCAGGGCCTCAATGACCTGATCGGCCAAAGTTGGCATCACAGGATTCGCACTTGGAGGCGCAGCACTGGCGAAAGGTTGGCTAGGGATTGGCAGGTGCCCAATAGGGGTCTGCGCTTGGGTGCTCCTAGCAATTGCTGCTTCCCTAATGGCTCTCTCCCTCTGCTCATTCGCCTCCGCTAGTTGCTGTCTTAACCTCTCATTCTCGGATTCCTGTGCTTGCGCTCTCGCCTCAAACCCCGCAAGCTGCCTGGCGACCTCTGCCCCTGAGGTATTGCCGAAGTCTCCGTACGGCTAGGGGGCCGCTCGGGGGCTGCAGATCTAGGGTAGATGGTGGGAGCCCGCTGCTCAAGAGCTTGCATGCGCTGCGGCATTTCCGCATTAAGTAGTGGGGGTTCCCTTCCGGGACCCGGGGCAAAGGTGGTGGGTGTGCCGAGTGATCCCGGTTGCGGTGGCGAACTACTTGATGCCACACTCCCATCCGCCAAGGCTCCGCGCCCTAGATGTTGCACCGGGGCTTGCATGAACATTTACATGGTGTGGCGGTGTCTGGGCTTGCACCTCAGTCCTTGCCACACGGAACAACTCGGAAACACGAGACATAAAAACACCAGGGATACCCTCAACCATCTCGGTGATGGTGGTCAAACCCTGCTGCGAACGTAGGGTCACAAACCCCTCCACTCCAGGAGCTTCCCCAGTTGACCTTACGCCCCCAAAGCCACCATCACCACTTTGCAGACCTCACTCAAAGTGTCCTGACGGGGTCCAGTGTTGGCCTGTGGTCCTGGGCTTCCGCCCGGAGCTGCAAATGCCAGTGGCATGCTTCAGGGCATACCGTGCTCAATCCCACCCTCGCCGGTGGTCGACACATGTTGCAAGCCTTCTGCTGGGTCTGTGCTAACACGCGCCCTTCCCGCAGCCGAATCTACCACAAAGCCCAAACCACCCCATGTGCCGGCGGTGGGTGCATCAGGTGTTGTGGACGGTACATTTGTCGCATGCCCTGTGGTGCCATAGCCCCGCGTTGGGCTCATAACCTGCTGGAGTGAACCAGCAGGCTGAGTAGAGGATGCAAGTGGACCTCTTTGCTTTCCTTTGTTTGAGGCCTTGGGGGTTTTTTGGGCACAGGGCGGAGGGTCAGGCTCAGACACAGCTGTTCTGGGTATAGGTTGTAGGGTGAGATTTTGGGGCCTAGAGCTTATAACAGCTATTTTCCCAAGAATTTGTCGGATTATGGTTGTAAGGTTCATGCAGGTCCTAGAGGATCGGTAAGGGAGGGGCGGGCGGGGGCAACAAGAATGCCCCAACAATCCTGTTCTACTTGTCAAGACCTCTTCGTGGGGCCCTACGAAGGCCCAATCCCTACAAATTGCAGGCGAATGCGGAAGCTGTGGCAGTCGCGTCCTTGGTGGAGTTGGCTTCCGGATTTGGGGTTTCTGGGTTCAAGGCTTCAGAGTTTCGGGCTTTCAAGTTGTAGGTTTAGCGGGTTCTAAGGCGGATTCAGAGGTTTTGGGTTTTAGGGTAAGGGCCCGGGCTCAACTAACGGAAAGCAACAGCCACCATGGCCGCAGCTTGCAACCAGGAGGCCTCCCGTACGAAGCCCCAGTTGCTCGTCACTGGATACCTCAATACTGAGCCCGAAGCTGGAACAACTTCGAAGGGCTCTATGCAGTTTTGCGAGCTTGGCGCCAGGAGCCGCGCAGCCTGACAGACCTTGGTCAATGCTCTGAGAAAGTTCCATCGTGTTAGTGTTGTCGAGCGTGTTTGGTTTCATGATGGCTGTTGCATGCTCGATCGGGCTGACACGGTGCAAGCTAAATCCTAAACCCTCAGCAGTAACCCCCTAAACTTCCTAAGCCCGACACCCCTAAGCCCTCAAGCGGAAGCCCTACCGAAGCCGTGCACCCCAAGAGCGGGGTTTTTGGTCTACGGCGAGCAAGGCCCCCACGAAATGGCGCTTCCTCCCCTCGGTGGGGACCTGGGTGCTGCCCAAGCACGGGCCTTAAGCACATTCCACTAAGGCTCCTAACAGTATCAGGGTCTTAGATGATGTGCTAAGTCAACACAGCGTTCAAGCAGGGCTAACTTCCAGGGTGACACTTCGAAATCAGCTTTGTGACACGGAGACAAGCCAGGCAAGTAACCATGCACAAGGCCCACTTCCAACCAGCGTTGACTCCACCCGCGAGTCTTCACGGTTCAGGGCATTCAGGTTTGGAGTTTCTCAGGGTTTTGGCGCTTACTTTCAAAAGGAAGCTACTCCTTGATGGCCTAGATCGTCAACCATAGCCCGAAAACTCTAGAATGAAGCCCAAGCCCTGAGCCCTCTAAAGAGAACTGCGAAGCCCCAAGGTTCGAAAGGCTTGTTCACGGTTTTCCCAGTTTAACGCAAGGGCTTGCTGAAAAGCCTTTTCTAAATCCTACGGCCTCCATATCAACAGTCCTGCCAAATCCTTGAAAGAGCCCGCGAATTTAAAGGAACCCCTAGAGGAAGCTGTTCAGGCTCCTGAATCAATCTGTGGCTCAGGGCTCAGCGGATATTGTTTTGGGGTAGCCCCTGTGTTAGGCCGTCAGGGCTGGGTACTACAGCGATACCCCGAACCCTGTACCTGAAGCCTTACAACCCTAAACCCCAAAAGACAGCATAGGCCCTGCAAGCCCTATGTCGACACCCTAAACCCAAACCCTCAGGCCGCTCCTGGTTGCGCATGCGCCGCCCGGCAAGGGCACGCCCAAGAAGTCTCCAGTAGCAAGCGGCGTCACACGCAAGGCCCGGCAGCTGGAACGATTTACGGGTCCTGAATGGGACTTGCAACATGGGATGGGAGATAAGGGCCTTCAGCATGAGAATCGGGGTTCATAGGGTGTAAGATAAGTGCCTTTCTTGGTAATAGTTCGCACAGTGAAGCTTGGGGATAACTTCTATAATGTACTCGTGAGTATTGTAGAGACAATGCTCCGGACTATACGCTTTGAAGGGTGAGAACATGTGCATCCGCACGGAGGCGTTACCGTTGCTACCATCATCATTGCCATTGTCACCACTGCTACTGGTTACAAGGATCACATGGGTGACGATGATGATGAGTTTGATTAGCACAGTTCGTTGTCACCTTCCACGTGCGAAGACCGCTCAGATCGAGTTTTCAGATTCCTCATCCAAGCCCGAGGCCGCGGCCTTGAATCGAAATCAAATCTTGTTGGCCAATGAGACGGATTTGTGCCTCGATGACCATGCTAGTGTTAGGTGATCAAGGCTCATAGCGTTTAGGGTTTACGTGTTGCGCTTACCCTGGTGCGTAGTCTCTAGATTCCGGTCGAAGTTGCGGCAACCCTGCAAACCCCTAGTTTCCCATGGCGAAAGACACACCAACTGCACAACTACACCCTAACCCGAAAACTCTCAAACCCTGAAGCCCCAAACTTAGGCTCTAAACCCATCCTGCGTGCTCTTTTTCCTGAGGCCCCTGCGAAACTGATGACCACAAAGCCGGCTGCCAATGTCCCATCTCCCCAGGCCTATGTGGTATTTCTTCGCCATTACTGCTATTGTAGTACCATAACAATTACTGCTGGTGTGAACCAGCAGGCATCGAAGCAGAAGCTACTAGTGGGGTCGCTAATCCCCTAGCAGAATTTTCCAAACTGCCCATGGCTCACACAAACGCGGAGGTTTTACACGCAAGCAAGAAGT